AAGCAAGAGCAATAAGAAATATATATATATATATATATATATATATATATATATATATATATATATATATATATATATATATATATATATATAACTTTAATTAAACGTTTTCCGCTGTATGTGTTCATATGTGTTTGTGCTACCTGTAAATCCAGATTGAAAGAAAAATATTCATCTTTGAATGTCTTTATTTACACTTGTTTAGGAATTTAGCTGAACTTAGCTACAATAATATTTTTAAATAACAAATGAATAAGATGCTCCGAGCCAAATTTCTCTTTGGAATCCAGTTAGGGTAAATCACTCCATGACTCCTTGGAATACTATACGAATGTGCGGCGATGTACCCTAATATGATTTCATACATTTACCTTTATTCTCTATGTACCGTAAGTCGCTTAGCATCGTGTTACCTGACCAAGTAAAATTGACCGATATAAACTCCCACTATTTAAACACGGCATCAAACATAACTGTCGTCTCGTTAGTTGGTGGTAAGATCACAATATTCTTTAAGTTACCTATCTAGAGTATAGCTTATGATAATGTTGTAAACATCCCTAATTTTCTCTGTTTAGGTGTACAAATCTGGTAGTTTTGTTTGACATGAATTGATCGAATGCCGGGACTATTCAAAACCTGAAATACTGGTTTGACCAATCTTTTGTTCGAAAATAAGAGAGAGAGAGAGAGAGAGAGAGAGAGAGAGAGAGAGAGAGAGAGAGAGAGAGAGAGAACTCACCTAATATTTTTTTCTGCGAACTACGATGTTGATTGTACACCTGTGTAGTCAGGTTCAAAATCACTTTCATGTAATCAGCCAATAATCCTTGCTTGCACTGACGATCAAATTCAAATATGCTATCAATAGACGAGGATTGGTAAAGTGACACTTTCAGATAACCAGACAATAATCCTGAACATTGAACTACGGTAGGACAGCAGTCAAATACACCAATTATTTACCCTCGCATCATTAGCTGTACATAATGTGTAACAGTACACCTATGTCTAGCGGTTAACATAAATTAGTCAATTTAGTTTCAAGGCTAATTTACTATTTACAACGTACATGTGTTTTTCTGTTAGCAACATTTATTCTTTGTGGATAACAATGGGAGCTATCTTTTATGGATTAAGGCTACTTCGTGCAAAGGAAACACTATTTTGTTTAAGAAATATTACTGTAAACATTAGTACTGTTTATAGAAACCATGCGTTCTGCGCAATAAAGTGTATCACGCAAGTATGGTTGGTTTATCGCTCTGTTTGAGCTGGCAAGACCGGAACTTCTAGTATATCTAGTCAAGCAGTGACGTACGTATTAGGAGGGGTGTGTGTGGAGAGTACGGTCAGCTCCAGGTAAGAGCCAGAAGGAGGGTGGTGGAGTGCCATCTTGAGAGTTGAAATAGCAGTACAAGTTTTCAAACCAAATGGAAATTTCGCACAAGTAAATTTGATTTTCAATCTGCTTTTGACAGCACTGTACTGTTTAAAAAATCTATTTACAAACATAATAAATATTTCGTGTGTTTACATTTTAAAATTATTTGTTTTGGTGCCAAAGTAAGAATATGCACAGGAGGCCATATACTTTAGGTACGTCCCTGAGTACAAGCATTACATCAGACAACAATATCATCGATAATGTATATATATGTATGCTAGTCTCAGCACGGACGCGAGCAAAGTGTTCCCCTCCCGAATTTCACTTTTAAACATCTTTTGACCTACATCTATAAAACATAATAGCTGATCACTACATGTCCTTCCCCTAAAACAATAACTCTGCTGGTGACCCCGAGATACAGTTTAACATTATGCCAAAGTTGCAGCTCATCCATCAACTTGAACACTAAATCTTTACGCAGACGTCACGTGGTTGCTTGAACTGTGATTCAGAAAAATATAGTTAGCTGGACACACACACACACACACACACACACACATATATATATATATATATATATATATATATATATATATATATATATATATATATATATATATATATATATATATATATATATATCACCATAAAGCTACATCCATTCATGCATGCATCCATCTTTCCATCCATCTATATATATATATATATATATATATATATATATATATATATATATATATATATATATAAACATAGTATAGTTTGTTTACTGTTCAACGAAAACAAGCGACGAAGAAAGTTTTAATTATTTGTTGTTGATAAATAATGGGCCACTGATAAATGCAATTTTATATTTCAGTAATAGATAACATTCCCAAATGTAAACACAAAGCCCTGGCCGTTCCCAGTTAAAATGACATTTATCATGTCCTTGTCATAATGGAATAGATTGATTAAGATTTACATTTGTCTATAATGAAGCTGTAATCTTTAAAGAATTATGTGCTTCTCTGAAATAACTAATAGTGACCACTTAATGACTCGTCTTATTGAAAGTAGAATAAAATTCAAAGATACGTTTCTTTTCCCCTCACATTAATACACTCCCACCACTCCATTAGTACACTCCTACCTCTCAATTAGTACACTCCTACCACTCAATTAGTACAATCCTACCACTCTATTAACACTCCTACCACTTCATTAGTACACTCCTACCACTCAATTAGTACAATCCTATCACTCTATTAACACTCCTACCACTCCATTAGCACACTCCTACCACTCTTAGTACACTACTACCACTCGATTAGTACAATTCTACCACTCGATTAGTACAATTCTGCCACTCGATTAGTACAATCCTACCACTATGTTAGTACAATCCTACCACTCTATTAGTACACTCCTACAACTCGATTAGTACACTCCTACCACTCGATTAGTACAATCCTACCACTCGATTAGTACACTCCTACCACTCGATTAGTACAATCCTACCATTCCATTAACACTCCTACCACTCCATTAGTACACTCCTACCACTTTTAGTACACTCCTACCACTCGATTAGTACAATTCTACCACTCGATTAGTACACTCCTACCACTCTTAGAACACTCCTACCACTCTTAGTACACTCCTACCACTCGATTAGTACACTTCTACCACTCAATGAGTACAATCCTACCACTGCATTAGTACACTCCTACCACTCCATTAACACTCCTACCACTCTATTAATACACTCCTACCTCTAAAACCGCTCGATTGAGATAAACGAGAAACATATTTTTAGTAATGTACGCTGGAAAAAGTTAACTGTTTGCTGGTGGATTTTTTGGGGGGGCTCAGTTGGCAGTCACGTATTTTTTTATGTTACCTTTAATTTGCGACTTATATCTGTACACAAGATAATTGCTAATCCGTCTAGTCGATACTCGCTACACCAGCGGTGATTACCGTTTTTTGTCCTTTCCATCAGTTTACTTTTTCTCAATTTTTAAATTAAGGTTGGGAATCTTTGCATAGAAATTTAATGTGAGCATTGTACTATTGAGAAAATTTCTGATCCACGCTGAAACAGCGTAGCATCATCAGCATATTGTAACATTAGACCTCTCTGTATGAACATCATTAATATCTTTATTTTCTTTCAAAAAATTAATGTGTATCTCTGCAGAGAGTAAAACAAAAAAAGTGAGGAGAAACCGTCTTTTCTGCATCCATTTGAAACGTGAAATCAGAAAGAAGCCATGTCTTCTCTGTATCCATTAAATACATGAAAGCAAAAGGACCCATGTTTTTTTTTTGTTTTTTTTTGGTATGCATTAAATACATGAAAGCGAAAATACCCTTGTCTTCTTTGCATCCATTGAATAAATGAAAGCAAAGGAACTTCTCTGCATCCTTTATATACATGAAAGTAAAAGGACCCATGGCTTTTAACAGTTCCACAAAACATTTATTGCCATAACACGTTTCAATTGATTTTGATAACTTAAAGAATAAAGTTGGAAAAATGCATTTCTTTATATATATATATATATATATATATATATATATATATATATATATGTATCAGCAATCCTAGCATTCTATGCACAAAAGCGCAAAATAGTATGCAAATTATGAACGGTGATTGATTAGCGAAAAGAAAAAGAAAGAAAAGAAAAGGATAAAAGCGAAATATTCTGATCAATATTTTAAAAATTCATAACAAAATGGAAATTAATCATTATAGCAGACATAACGTTTTGAGTTAGTTTGGATACATATAATCAAAATGGAAGAAAAAATAGACATATCGCTTTGAGCTCACAATAGAGCAAACTGATTTGACATAACATAAAGTATAACATGTAACTTTAAGTATAACATAAAGTAAAACGTAACTTTAAGTACAATATAAAGTAAATCATGTAACCTTAAGTACAACATAAAGAATAACATGTACATTTAAGTACAAAATAAGTATAACATGTACCTTTAAGTACAACAAAAATATAACATGTACCTTTAAGTACAAAATAAAGTATAACATGTACCTTTAAGTATAACAAAAAGTATAATCATGTACCTTTAAATATAACATACATTCGTTATCCAGATTTGCAATTCATGCCATTACAACATTCTTCTAAATTATAAATATAAAGTAAAAAATGATGGCATGGAAATTAAATAGGACTATTTTTTAAATACACATCTTCATTTTATAATTCATATATCTAATTACATTTAACAATATGTCATTAAGATTATATACAATAGGTTTTTTCCAAATCTCTGTTCTCCATACAGTGTCGAATATATTTTATTAATAATTCTTTGTTTGTATTTTTTGCTTTAAAATTTCTACAAATGCACGTAGAGTAATAAATATTGTATAAAATGAAATATTCTTTTCTAAAACCAGGCTGAATTTCCTATAAAATACTCGTCATCTCAAAAGAGTTCGAATATCTTCCATCTCAAATAAAACTACAAAAAGTTGTTAAACAACACTCGATGGGTGAGCAGTGGAGATAAGATGTCTATCATCTTTATTTTTATATATTGGTTGTATTAAGCTGATGCTTGGACAATACCACAGCAAGATTTAGAACGCTCCGGTGGCCTAGTGGTTAGATCGTCCGCCTAGTATGCGGGAGGTCGTGTGTTCGAACCCCGGCCTAGTCATACCAAAGACTTTTTAAAAAAATGATACTTACAGCTGCCTTGCTTGCTGCTCAACATTAAGAGGTTAGTGCCAGGACTAGTTGGTCTGGTGTCAGGATAATGTGACCGGGTGTCTGCTATAAACTGTCACACTGTAGACATGCGGTATGACTGAAAATATTTTAAAGCTACGTTATAAATCTAAAACACACACACACACACACACACACAAATACACACACAACAAGATTTATAAAGGAAATATATAGACGTAGACAAATAGCTTAAGATGTATTGTACTTATCTATGATGTAGGCTGTACCCGATACAGACTGATGTACTGTTATGTATATTTAATTTGCATTGTTTGTTTGTCAGTTTTCTTAAACATTTTTTATTTCATTACATTTATTATAATGTAACATTATATGTTGGATTTGATCTTGTCCAAAATTGAGTTCATTTCTGCTTGACCTGAATTGACTGTAAACAACCAGTATATTGCTAAATTACTCTCTATGTGTATGGGTTTAAAATTTGAATTATTATTAATAGAAGCAAATACGTTTATTTGAGTCCAGATCTAGGTTTTTGGAATTTCCTTAGTGTATTTGACTTAGTCTAGGTCCTGGTTTCTAATAATAGCAACAGTTTTTATTTTGTTTGCACTAGGTAATAGTTGTTGTGTTTTTTAAATAGAAAATACTAATTGTGGCCAGAGGTCAAGTAGAGAACTAATTAATCATGTAACTGAGATAATATTTCAGTTATGTTTTAAGATCTAGCACTTCATGTTGTGCCCAGTTTGGTTGAAATTTATTTCTTCAACTAATCAAGTTCAAGTGATCATTTCTCTGGAAATACTACAGTGCTCTGATAAGATTCTTATATTGAAACATTCACTGGGATTTAAACCTGGAATTATATTACCGTGATTCAATAAAATATTATGGGCATATCAACACTCTATAAGCTACCACAGAAACATCACCTTCAGTTTGGGATTTGTTTTGGATTTCTACTGAATTTATTTCAGGACTTTAAATTATTAAGACTTGTGTCTACTATTCTAGGAGTATTTTGAGATCAATTCTCAGTTATGTGAGTTGTTTTGTTTGTTTTTTTTTTTTCATTTTCCACCTTGTATTCTAGGGAAATAAATTTTACAAAGCTTGTTGCTTTTCACTATTTTCTGTTACTGTTACTTATTTTAAAAACTAAGATTCGTAACAGTCTTTATTTATGACCTCGGCTATACACGATACAGCTTGATTTATTTTATAATTAAATTATCATTGTTGTATATTTATAGATGTGTAAATTTTACCTAATCACTCACAAAGTAAATAAAGTCCGAAAGACTAAACTTTATGAGTAATTAGGTAAAGTTAACACATCGATAAATACCCAAATATGATCAATTTAATCCTTGTAATTCCACCAATTTACTTCCCATCTGTCGTCCTATCAGCAGATTTCATCAACAAAACACTCAATTTTTATATAGACTGAAGTTTTCTTTAATTAAACTCCTAACTGCGACAGAATACATTGCCCAATCTTCGTTAGCCAATAGTCGTCGATTCTTTATACAGCAATATAGGGTAGACTGTTATAGCGGGTCGTATATATTATAATGATCACTATTTTAATATATAAAAAGTGGTTAATGCTATTTAAACCAGGCATTTCCTTTGTTTCTAAAATTACTTTTGCGCGTGGCAGGTGTTGTTACAGCATCCGTTATTGTTATTTTCTACGCATTTCGATCTTTCCAAACCAAAATCATGTCTATTTTTAGTGAGATCCCTTGCTTGACAAATGATGCTGACCTTTATTAACAGCTGCTGGAACATGTTGTCGAAGCAAAATGCAACAATTCCCGAAGACTGGCTCCTAATGCCAGCCATATGCCTTTTTCGGAAAAAAGGGGTGAGTGTTGGAGTGCATGAAGATTTGTGTAACTAAATTGTTTTAACTTTAATTAATCGATTTTATTCTAGGGTTGTAAATATGGACCGGGAATCACAGTAGAGGGTGGCTATCGCCTGTTGTTATTAATAGGGTTTAAGGCGTTGACATCAATAAACATTCACACTAAAATGACCTGGAAATAGGGAACCAAAAGTAGTCGGTGAGGAATATTGAAGCCGTCAGATTGAGACTAGTTCCTACTCCGTATCAAGCGAATTTTCTTTTTCACCCGGCTTGTAACAAAACATTTAGGTGATTTTGTATTTAGGACATATCTCCTTGTTGTTCAGACATTCTTAAAAATTGTGTTAATGTATATTTTTTTAAACTTTTAGCGTTTTATGAAAGATATTGTACAATCCATCCCGATACACATATCTGGGAATAGGCCTAAATATGTACTGTGTAGTTGTGTCATCGGTTTGGCAGATATGCTGATTATCTTTCAGTTTTTACAAATGTTGTATGGGACATACTAATGTTGTATGGGACATATAAATGTTGTATGGTACATAGAAATGTTGTATGGGACATATTATTGTTGTATGGGACATACAAATGATGTATGGGACATATCAATGTTGTAAGGGACATACAAATTTTGTATGGGACATAATGTTGTATGGACATACAAATGTTTTATGTGACAGAAATGTTTTATGGGACATACAAATGTTGTATGGGACATATTAATGTTGTATGGGACATACAAATGTTGTATGGGACATATAAATGTTGTATGGGACATATAAATTTTGTATGTAACATATTAATGTTGTATAGAAGATATAAATGTTGTACGAGACATACAAATGTTGTATGGGACATATACATTAATTTAATCTGCAGTCATAGGCAAGGAATTCGTTCATCAAAAGGAACATACATTTTGGACCAGTAAGGGCTATGTTTTCTTACATCAGAGGAAACATAGGTTTTGGACCAGTAAGGGTCCCGTTTTCTTACATTATACTTGCTGAGAAAACAATTTACTTTCAAGCAAATTTCAGGGGAAATTTTAAAGACCGACAGTAATAAAACGCATTAAATTTTATACTGAAAGCTTGTGTATTTTGCATTAAAACTCTCTGCTTTTATGTTTGCATATTTACACAAGAAACTGTTGATACATTTAATTTAAAGTGATAAATTAAGCAAATATTTTTAAGCATGTCTTTCTAAGAAATCGAAGATTTAGTCTTTTTCTAACATGCGGACTAGATTTTTAATATTCATGCAATTAACGAATAAATTCTAAACAATATTTCAATATTGTTTTATTTTCTTCTCTTTATTTTCTACTCCAAACAGTCTCAAGAATTTAAAATGTAAACAAACAGTTCGCTTTAGTTTACTTTCTGTCTGGGAGTGTTGCTTATGCCTGGCATTTCTACACTCCTTACCAGATCATGCATAATGTGTGTCCCTAATTTTGCTGGATATTTCTATACAACCAAAGCTTCCATGGCCGATCTTTGAAATATGTCGGAAATCTTAACACTAATTTGATCAATTATCTTCTGGTGGAGAGATTCAACACGGATTAAATCTATCTTGCCGTCAATGTTATGTAAAATGCTTATTCATTAGGTGTTAGCCAATTGTACAGACACCTTTGACACATTTTCAAGTTTCCTTTCACTACAATTTTCATTTTTTAAATAAGAAACCAGGAGCTGAATGGGGATTATACAACTTAAAATAATGGCTCAATGCAGTTTTTTTTTAAAATTAGAACATTCCAATTGATAACACGTCATAAATAACAACTGATGCATTTTTGACCTATAAGTGTTGTAAACCATCTGAATTCCAGAGCCGGGCGCATTTCAATTAATATATGACTACATGTATATGGAATAGTGTTCGTTGTTCTTGATTTTCGATAACGGGGAATACCCAATATATCTAGGGTCAAAACAGATTTGAAATAACTACTGGGAAAAAACCCCACAAACATTACATCCAGTGTGAATATCTCTCCGCGCATTGGCCCCCATCAGATAGACTCGTGTAAAAAAAAAACTGCCATAAAAAAGTGATCTCCTTCGCAATCTTTCATTACCACCTACACAAGTATCATCGTTATCATCAATTCAGAGAACATGTTTGCTATTTCGTTGTTCTTGATTTTCGATAACGGGGAATACCCAATATATCTAGGGTCAAAACAGATTTGAAAAAATTAATGGAAAAAAACCCAAACATTACATCCAGTATGAATATCTCTCCGTGCATTGGCCCCCATTAGATAGACTCGTGTATACACTGCCATTAAAAAGTGATCTCTTTAGCAATCTTTGTGCGATTTACTATCGAGAATCCAGACCATTCCTATAGTACATACAAAACACCAATTAGGACATCCTCTGATGAAAATTGATTTAGTTAGCTATGACCCATGATCATTTCACTAGCATTTCTTACTTCCAACAAATAAACAATAATGCAACTGCCGGAGTTTTGACTAAAACTTTTTTCAGTGCTTTATATTTAATAAAACATTATTGCTTATGATCATATACGGAACTAAATTGTTTAATTTCTAGTATGTCAAGCTCATGAATTTTTACCCTTGAAAAACCGTAAAATCTAAATTATGTGCAAAATTAACAAAACCTGGACAGAATAGCCTTTATTTTGTAACTCACACATTCAAATATAAAATATTTATTATTGACATTATTAACATCATCATTACTTGTTGCATATATAAAACATTCACATTTTGTTGAGGAAAATTCATTCGCAAAATTCCACCCATGAAACCGCTATGTCGATTGGGCTGCGCGTAGAAAGGTGCTGGCTACGATGTTTATTTGTTCTCATCGTGTTAGAGACGAGTGACTCACTTGGGTGTATTGATCCACAACAAAGAGCTTACAATACAAGACACTTATTCAGCATTTCAGGCAATAGGCTTATGATACACATGCAAGAAATTTATTCAGTATTTGATGCCACTGGCTGATAATACACATACAATAACATTTCAAAATTTTGGTGGAAGTCCTGTAGATTTTAATTTGACTCTTATAGATCTTAATG